TTCATAAAACATGAACATAACATGAACAAAACACCCTAAAATTCAAAGGAACAAACATGATCCTATATAACCATTCAATTAGATGAGGATAATTGGAGATGTTAACATATTCGAAATCCAAAAGGTATCGCTCATTTATCTTAAGTAAGTTATACACCTCTTACCATCAAAAGTTGATTTTGGCGGTTGCTGAAGGTGAATACGCTGCCAATTGGCAGAGCTTGGCTCTACTCCTCTATTTCCGCTTCTTCATCTCGAGCCATTTACGACATGACCTTGTCTTTTACGGAGGGAAGGTATTAGATGCGGTTTTGCTTAGGATTCGTTGGATTGTCTCTTGGTCGTCAATATGTTGTGGAATTTGTTGTGGCCAATCCAGTGACCAAACAAGAGATTAGGTTGCCAGACCTAGAACGTCGTCGGGTCTTGAAGATTTATCTCGCTGTGAATAAGACTTGTAAGATGTTAAGAGTCTTAGCAGCTCTACGTTTGTTAGAGGACATAATCTATTATCATGTGTGTCGACTAGATGTGGATCCAGCCACTTATGAATGGGATCACCTCCGGCAAAGAGGGATTTCTGACCAACTTATAGCTTCCTCGGCGTATGATATGTATCTCCGGTAGGTGAGGTAGTATGCATAGACGGTTTCATGTATTTTGGTGCTTTGTCTTCACGACGTTTTCAAACTTCAGTGATTGGGAGATTTGACGTGATTAATGAGCTTCTAGATTTTGTTTTGACCCCTATGGACATTGATGATACTGGTTACAACATTGCTAGGAATTTGATTGATTACAACGGAAGACTAGCTTCCATTGTAAGGAAATTCGAGTACGAGATGTTTTCAGGGTTTACTATGTGGCTGCTCGATTTTGCAAACAAGAACTGTACAAATCGTGAACTTGTGTTTTCTCCCGATCCCAAATGGATAGACTATCTGAGTGGAAAATATTGGTCATGTCCAAGGTTTAGCAATGACGGCGAAATCATTTTCGCAACACGACACATGCCAGGGCTGCCTTTCACCATTGTTTTTTATGACCATGAAAAGAACAAGATGAAAAGAGAGGAAATAGATGGACCTGAAGATGTACTGCCGTTTCGAATTGGACAGCTTGGCCATTCTCGCGACTTCGTCTCACAACACCTTTTTTGTGCAACCAACACCATCCCATAAAATGCTTGATATTTAGTACTCTTTTGTAGTGTAGTTTTTACTCTATTTGAAGAAGTTAAAGGTGAATCAAATTGGGAATGCGTTGGGTTTGTCATTGGATGTTTCAGAGTAAAAAATGGTAGCTAAACGTAATCGGATCCAGAAGTTTAAGTCTTTTTTTTTTTTCGTTTTCACCCTTTATATTTGCCTAATGCTTATCCTAGCTCGTGCTTAGATAATTCCAACTAAGCATGAATTGATGGTGTTCACACCATTCAATTAGATGAAAATAACGGGAGATGTTAACATATTCGAAATAACCGAAGAAATCACTAAGCTACTGCTAGGGAAGGTCGACTCATATTTGAGGTGGTATCCAAAAGGTACCGCTCATTTATCTTAAGTAAGTTATACATCAAAAGTTGATTTTGGCTGTTGCTGAATCATGTTAGAGGACAGAATCTATTATCATGTGTGTCGACTAGATGTGGATCCAGCCACTTATGGATGGGATCACCTCCAGCAAAAAGGGATTTCAGACCCACTTACAGCTTTATGGGCATATCATATGTATCATCCGGTAGGTGAGGCAGTATGCATAGACGGTTTCATATATTTTGGTGTTTGGACTTCACGACGTTTTCAAACTTCAGCAATTGGGAGATTTGACGTGATTAATGAGCGTCTAGATTTTGTTTTGACCCCTATTGACATTGATGATACTGGTTACAACATTGCTAGGAATTTTATGGATTACAACGGAAGCTGACTTCCAATGTAAGGAAATCCGTATATATTATCAACTATATTTGTCGTTGTAGTTGATAATCACGTGAAAAAATGCTTGATTTTCTTCTGATCAAAATAAAACAATAAAAAACTAAATGCAACTTTTATATTTGATCAAATTAATTTTTTTTAATTTGGGCCAACTTACGTAAAATCATTTTTTTTTCTATGAAAATATATTAAAGATTAGTTGTCGGTGGTCTAGAAACAAGTCGCATGCAGTTACATACTTACATGCACTTTCAGAAGAAAAACTAAAATCAACAATCAAGAACAAATTGATTAGGTAGGAAAACTAAGTCTGTTTTCCACGACCACCAAAACATCAGCAACGGCCACAACGCTGTAAACCTCCACAACGACCACCAGCAAATCGGCCGCCAACATTGCCAAAACGGCCTCCAACTCTGCCAAAACTTTCGCCGCCAGATCGGTAGATATCTCTCGGTATAACCTTCTCAACCACAAGTTCCGATCCTGTCATGTCACTTCCATTAAGTTCCAATGCCTTCTTTACGCCTTCTTCTTTCATATCAATGTAAGCAAATCTGT